TTTTTCTTCAATGGTGCATTGAATGAAGCACTCTTGCAAAGCTGTTTCATATTTCCTTTGCACCTATTGTCTCTGCTGGCATGTTGTCACAAAGAGACTTTAACCCATGACCTATGCAGCACAGTCATCAATCAATTGAACAGTTTGCCTCCAGAAGTTAAATGTTCCTTGACTGGAAATATTTAGAGATCTGTGGTTAGAATGCAGTATTGCATGCAAACTCTGCCCATAGGCAGGAGTTCAATCCTGACCGGGTCAAGGTTGAATCAGCCTTTCATTCTTCTGGGGTCAATAAAACGAGGACCTAGATTGTTGAGGTAATATGCTGACATTTGTAAACCACTCAGAGACTGTTGTAAAACATCATAGGATGGTATATAAGTGCCTTTGCTATTTAAGAAAAGACTGGACAACTATTTGTCTGGAATAGTGTAGGGTCTGCTGCTTGAGCAGGGAAGTGGACCAGACTTCCAAGGTCCCTTGGAACCTCTATGTACTTCTAAATTTTTCTGTTACTGGATGAACTAGAGGGCATTGTCGAAGTCTGGCAAAGCCCATTGATAGAGTGAACTGATAAAGTACAACTAATCTTTGACTTACAAGTGGTTATTTTACAACTGTCTGAAGTTATAACAGCCATACAACAAGTGTCATACTGGTCATACTGCCTCCCTATGGTCCCATGATCATATGTTGGATGGGTCAGCTTGGGGCCCCTCATAGCATTTCTTTACAAGATGGACTGAATACTTGTTACATCTGTAGTCTCAGAGCATAGGTTGTGGAAGGACTAACTACTTATATAAAACATAAAGCTAAAAAGATAAGCCTTCAGTGGAGGGGCTTTGCAGTCCTAGATTCCACACTTTTTAAACCCTCTTTTGTTGTTTGTAGTTCTTTATTTTGGAGTTTCTCTCTCTTTTTTGCTGTGTATTCCCCCCCCCCCCAGTATTTTGGAATCTGATGAATGTATTTCCCACTTAGCAGAAGGATTAAGTCTGTAAAGCATTAACATTTCTAGATCTCCTGGTTTTTTTAAATCAGTCTTACTCCATGAAAGATTACAACAATTTCTAAGAACTTTTATATTGGTAATTAGACCTTCTATAAAGTGTTATTTCTTAAACAAGGCCAGATTATTCATTCATTCATTCATTCATTCATTCATTATTAATTCAATTTGTATGCTGCCCCTCTCCGAAGACTCAGGGCGACTCACAATGCATTTAAAATCATTACAAAAAACATTTAAAAATTAAAAACATTAAAACTCATTCACACCATTCATGGCCAGATCTCGCCGGATCACAAGAGTGAGATCAACGGCCCCAGGCCTGCCAGAAAAGCCAGGTCTTCACCGCTTTTCAGAAGGCCAATAGGGTGGGGATGGTCTGGACCTCAGGAGGTAACTGGTTCCAGATAGCTGGGGCAGTCACAGAGAAGGCCCTCTCCTGCAGGCCCACTAGCCAGCATTGTTTAGCTGATGGGACCCGGAGGAGACCAACTCTGTGGGATCTTACCGGTCGTTGGAAGTTATGCGGTAGAAGGTGGTCTCGAAGATGCCCTGGCCCTGAGCCATGTAGGGCTTTAAAGGTAATAATCAACACCTTGAATTGTGACCAGAGACTAATAGAGAGCCAGTGCAGCTCGCGGAGAATTGGTGTAATGTGGGTGTACCTAGGTGCACCCACGACAGCTCGCGCGGTTGCGTTCTGGACCAACTGTAGTCTCCAAACACTTTTCAAGGGTAGCTCCATGTAGAGCGCATTGCAATAATCTAACCGTAAGGTGACAAGGGCATGAGTGACCGTGAGGAGAGCCTCCTGATCCAAGTAGGGTTGCAATTGGTGCACCAGGTGAACCTGGGCAAAGGTCCCCCTAGCCACAGCTGTCAGATGTTGCTCTAATCTTAGCTGTGAGTCTAGGAGGACATCCAAATTGCGAACCCATTCTGAGGGGGACAATTTCTCCCCCCCCCCAGAACCAAGGATGGCCAATCAACATAATCTTTAGGAGGCAATACCCACAGCCACTTGGTCTTGTCTGGGTTAAGTCTGAGCCTGTTGACTCCCATCCAGACCCTCACGGCCTCCAGGCACCGGCCCATCACATCCACCGCATCACTGAATTGACGCAGGATAGAGATATACAGCTGGATATCATCAGCATATTGCTGATACCTCACCCCGTATCATTGGATGATCTCACCCAGCGGCTTCATGTAGATGTTAAATAGGAGGGGAGAGAGGACCGAGCCCTGAGGTACCCCGCAAACAAGGGGCCTAGGGGTCGACTTCTGTCCTCCTACCAACACTGACTGTGATCAACTAGAGAGATAGGAGGAAAACCACTGTAACACGGTACCTCCCACTTTCAGCTTCCTTAGTCGTCCCAGAAGGATACCATGGTCAATGGTATCGAAAGCCGCTGAGAAGTCAAGTAGCACCAAGATGGAGGAATGACCCCCATCTTGGGCTCGCCAGAGATCATCCATCAGTGTGACCAAAGCTGTTTCTGCTGTAGCCAGGCCTGAAGCCAGACTGAAAAGGGTCTAGATAATCCATTTCCTCCAATGACCGGATGGGGCTGAAGTGCCACCACTTTCTCTACAACCTTTCCCACAAAGGGTAGGTTGGAGACTAGACGAAAATTCTTTAATTCTGCTGGATCCAGGGAAGGCCTCTTGAGGAGGGGCCTTACAACCACCTCCTTTAATGGTTGCGGGAAGGCAACCATTAAATAAATTATGATTTATTTTCTCATAAAGACTTTAAGGATGCTGTCTAATCATCCAACCATTGTCATGCCATAATTACAATAATGAGGGCAGGCTTTATATTATCTAGGCCAGAGTTCTGTTTTATATTGGACAATCAAATGCTTCTAGAAAGCCCCAAAACAACTATTGAACACAATACAACTATGTATTTCCATTATTTTTATCCTAATCTCCCACTATTCAACTCTGTCAACAATATTGTGTATTTTACATATTACATCTCTTTCCCTCTACATTTCTTCTTCATGTGTGTTAGATCCTTTAGATTCTAAACCTGACAGCAGTGTCTTACATTTAAAATGTAAGATTCCTGGGGAATCTTTTAATACCTACCCCCATCAAATTGATATTTTGAAATCAAATTTGTCTTTGTTTTCTGATACTATGCAGAATAGATAAATCCATATAGATGAAAATTATTCTTTCCAATAAAAAGTAATTGTTTCTTTCACATCTACTGTTCCTCAAAAACCATGAATTTTTAGAGAAACGGTAGATGTAAAAGAAACAATAGATGGGTGCCCCTTTTTTCTTCAATAATAACTCTTAGGATAGGTTGGGCTAAGAAACCTAGTCACTTTCCCTGCTTAAGACTGAATGTAAACTTGTCCTACTGCAGGGCTGTCAAACTGGATTTCTTTGAGGGCCAGATCAGCATTGTAGTTCTCCTCCATGGGCCAGTGGGGGGTGAGGGAAATGGGATGGACACATCCTGCAGCACCCTGATAGCCAAAAGGGGACACGGTGGGGCTGTGTGTGGCCCCCTCTGTCCCGTTTTTGGCTTGAATGGCCTCCAGCAGCACTGTGCCAGCCAAAAATGGGCCGCATGGAAGCCCTGCAATGCGTCTGCAAGAAGACTGCATGCGGCCTGTTTTGGCCAGCAGAGGCACCATGGGCCAGTCTTTTGATGTTTTCACGCTGGTCCCACGGGCTGGATTTAAGCACCCCACGAGCCAGATTCGGCCCGCAGGCCTTGAGTTTGATACCCCTGTTCTAGTGGAATACCTTAAGTGTTATTTGCTGGAAGGGCTTATAGCTGTCTCTTAATTCTAATGGAAAGAATTTTTTTTTTTTTTGCCTTTCTTTCTTTTTCTCCATCTTTAAGAAAAGTACTAAGGTAGCATGTTATATTGATCTTCAATGCCAGGTAATTGTGTTGTTTCATTAAAGTGAACATGTCTTTCCTAAAGCTGCTAAGAAAGGACAAATGAGGCTATTGGAAGGGCTCATTCTTTTGAGCCAACATTAAAATATGTTACATTCTCTTGAAGAATCAGTGCAGTCACTTCAAGAGCTTTATCACATCGCCTGACATACTGATGGGTTTCATGATACTCTGTGCATCTTTAAACCAGTCTTGATTCTCATGAGTGTCTGCAGTTTTCTTGGCAAGATTTCTGGAAATACTATATAGATTTTCACTGACTGGTGGGATTCAAATTATTTAACAACCAGTTCTCTGCCTAATGACTGGCAGGGTACCTTTTTTTCTGCTTCCTTTATGTTGTTCTAAATAGACAAATCAGTTAAGGAGTAGAGCTTTAGAGGATGGTGAGAGAGGAACTACTCTGAAGAAACAGATTGATTCTCAATGAATATTCACTTTTCTTTTATCAAAACAAAAATGTATAATTTGCTACAAAAATCAAAGGATGGACATAAGTGATTTAGTTGCAAATCAGGGACATTTTTAACATATAATTCTTTTATATTTTTAAACATAACCTTAATAGGTTACATTCATGTTAATTTAATTGCCTTTACTTCCCACTGAAAATAATGGAAATATTAATCATGCCATTTACTTTATTACTTACTTTTTTAAGATCTTATTTTTTTGAAGATCTCCAGAGGTCCAGAACAGGCTGACCCACTGGCAGAGAAGCCAAAGTGTTTTATTCAGATGATGGTGAAGCTGTAAGAATATCAAATCTAAGGAAAACATTTTCACCAAAAAGACATTGGCTGGGGCCATGTGGCCAGCAGGCCTAGGCCTGGACTGGGCCATAGCAGTCTCCTGCTTCAGGGATTGAGGCAGCAGCAGCAGCAGCCAATCGAAAGGGAGGTTGCTTCCTTTGTCTCTTCAGGCTGAACTGTAAGGCCCTTGTTGATTGGCTGCCATGCCCCAATCCCTGAAGCTACTCATTCGAACTAGCCAGTTAGCAGCAAGAAGACTGGGCCCAAACTATGCCTGACCAGAATGAGTAAAAAACTAAGCCTGCAGACCCTCATGGCACAGAAGCTGAAGTCTTTTATTCAGATGGGGAAAGCTGTTTTCCTTACATCTGACATTCTTACAGCTTCATCGGCTTCTGAATAAAAGACTTTGGCTTCTCTGCCACATGGTTCAGACTCTTCTGCAGCTCTTTGAAAAGTAAGTACAGTGAAGCCATGGGAAATGGGATGGGGAGGGCGGATCAGGCCTAGGAACTGTCCATTTCGGCCTGTAAGAGGCCAGGTGAGCCCTAGGAAGGCCCAGATGTGGCCTGGGGGGTGGATCGGGCCCAGGGACCCTCCATTTCAGCCTATAACAGGCCAGGGAACCCTAGCAAGACCTGGACAGGGCCCAGGAGATCAGATTGGGCCCAGGGACCTGCCATTTCAGCCTGTAACAGGCCGGGGGAGTCCCTCGAAGGCCCTGTAACAGGCTGTTTGCATTGGCAAAGAGGCAAAGGAAAGCTCATCAGACAGGCAATTAGCTGGGCTATGTGGGAGTGGAGAATGGCGAAGGAAGGTTCAGAAGGTAGATGGGCTGTGTGGGAGGCTGGGGTGAAGTCAGGCAAATGGGCTGGGCTGTGGGAGCCACATGGTTGAGGCAAGTGAGCTAAGGAGCAAGGGAGCCAGAGAACAGCAGCTGCTATGCTATTATAAGACATTGATCTTATGAATAATTCTTGTAGATTACCAGGTCTCAGTGACACAGCTGACAATGACATTAAATAATCTGATCTTGGTTTATTTATGGCAATGTGGTCCATACTGAGCACATTTGTTGGAAGACAGCAATTGATTTACCTATTTGGCATTTTATTTCTGCTTCTGTTCCCCCATCTGTGTCCATGACACTAGCAAGGTAGTTAAATTGTTTGACAAATTTTAAGGCCTGTCCTAAGGTACCTACCAACTGGCTCATATTTCCTTAGCAACAATAATGCTCATTTTTTGACTAATAGTCAAAAAACCTTTTGAGTATGTTTTAATTGTGAAACTGTAGTTGTTAAATGATATGATTTTCTGATTGTAACCCTTTAAAGTCCACTGTTTTAGAACAAATGCCAGTGTTTGTCTTGGAAACCTCAATTCCAAGTGTGTTTTATTTTATAAACTAAAGCTTTTTAGCAAATACACCAGTAGGGCGTTGCTCCTGGTTCTGTCCGGTTCTTTAGAACTGGTAAAGGCAGCAGGAGGCTCCGCCCACCCGCCCAGACTTCATAATTGATGATCTGCACATGTGCAGAAATGTGTGCATGCTCCTGTTGCAAACTGGTAGTAAAGGTAAGTAGAACCCACCCCTGAAATACACCCATGTTTCTGGTCTGCTTTTTATTCAATAGACTGCTTGCTTTGACTGCTGCGTCTTGCTACCTTTCATGAATTGACTGGCATTCCAGACCTAGCTCTTGACTACTACTGGTAGTTTGTGCTGAACAATGATTAGCTGAGCTACTGTTTGCAAGTTGTGCACTTACAAGCTTATAGACATATGATGAGTATGTTTCTTTATCTGCATGGTGATGGAAGTAATTGAGGAACATGTAAGTTGATTATAAATTGTGTTGGGAATAATTTGCAAATGGCAGATTTCTGGATGCTTATAGATGAATAGCTTCTAGTATTACCAATTAAACATACTGTTAGTAGCTCATCCATAACTCTTTAATTTTTGGAGAAAAAAGAAAAAGTAGGAGAAAAACAAAGACTACATGCCTCTCCCCCCCTCAAATTCTATGTATAAGATTGGTATCATAAAAGTATTACTTAAAAGCAAGATAATTCCTGAATTCTCCTTGCAATGTTTCTGCTGTTTTGAGTGAATAGAACAGAATGTTGCTTAATTTTTCTAGCACTGCTTTTGCTTAATTTATGTAAATATTAGAAAAATTGGACATCATCTAAAAATTTCTCCTGAATTCTTGTCCATACATTATTCTCACATTTACTTACATTTAACTCTGTAAGGTATTTCTTCAACTTTATTTTTTAATCTTTAAAATGCTTTGTATTGGACCACAGCATGGGGATTTATGCAAAAATGATTATTCTTCTCTAAACCTTCTTAGAGTACAACTCAGGATTACTTTCAGCCATTTATATTGGAAGTCTCAATCACCATTGCTTCAGCTTTTCACAGTAGGCAACACTGCATCAGTTTATGTGATATTGATTCTTGTCCACTTCAGAAGGAAAATTCAACACTCTTGACTTGGTTGAAAACGCCTGAATTTTTTGCAAACTTGTAATGTTGGTCTTTGTTTTACAAGTTTGAAACGTTGGTCTTTGTTTTGCATGTCTCCTAAATATTTACTTTGGAAAACTGATAACAAACTTTATTCCAAAGTAAATATTTAGGAGGCATGTCAAAAAAAAGACCAACATTTCAAACTTTGATAAATATTTTCACAATGAGATAAATCTTAAGTTGGCACACCCATACATGAATCTAATAAATCACAGGGCTAAATTAAGTTTATATTGTATTCTGTCTACTTTCTTCTGTGTGAATCTCTGCAAGTAATTGCCAGGCAATTTTACTGGGATAATTCAATGTAGTAGTTAATGTAACAGGCTAGAAACTTAAATAGCTAATTCATTTCTTGTTTCTATTAGCTTTTCCAAATATAAATCTATAAATGCCATAAATTTAGGCCTACCTTGCAGTTACATCTAAAACCTTTGTAATGTTTTACTTACTTCAGGGATACTACAAGCTTCTCTTGTCTGTCTCTCATGCAATCTGTAGACTAAGATATAACTAGTTTTTGAATATATCTTCTTTCCCATTCAATAAAATCAACCATGGCTTCCCAAACTGTGCAGTTTTTCTACTGCTTTTATGCAGAACTTCGAATTTGTAATGTTTTATTGTATTTCTATTCCTTTTCCCATCAATTTTCCCACTGCAAGAATATTGAAACAGTAACATCATTTCTCTTTTTTATGAGACAGATTATAAGAAAAATGTAAATGTCTTCCACTGAGACTAAGTCCCAGTGGGATTTGTCCTTGGAAAAAGTTTTTTTCCCGTTAACATGAAACCAAACAAACCTCATGAAAGAAATGAATACTTTTTAATGAGTGTTTTATATTCTGCATCTGGGGAGGTGTTCTGAGTCTTTCTACTTAAATATATTTCTGCATATATTTTTTAACTTCTCACAAGTTAAAAAAAGGAAAACTGAAACTGAGCAAGAACGAAATAACACATTTCTAGTAGTTTCTTAAAGATGCAGGTGAAGATGAGGACCAGGTGATCAGCACAGAGTTTCAAGCAAGAAGGAGTTACTGTGTTTGGATGCTTTTTTGATCTTTTGTCTATGAAATAGACCTCACACATCTTTTTTTTTGGATCACCAGAGGTGAGGGACCAAAAGGAATAGAGATAGGTGTAGGAGATTTGGATATTGTTGGTATATCTGAGATGGGGAGGGTAGCGATAGTTAACAGTGATCTCCTCTCACATCTACAGTGGGACACATGCAGTCATCTGCCAGTTACCTATTATCTTCAGTAAAGGAGGGAGATCTGCTGTAGCCATTTTTATTCTTCAGGCTTTTCCACACATTTGCTAAGAACTGATTCCTTAGTTTTTCAGAGAAGCTTCTCTTTGCTGGCGTGATTTCCCTTGTTAATACATTCTTGGTTTGATTGTGTATCAATATCTTATCTCTATTCCTGTACCCTACCTCTTTAGCATGACATCTTTGTTTTAGAACTCACTATAATGTTTTGTTGAATCTGGTAGAGAATTTTGATGGATTATATTTTTTGTTTGTATTAAAACAAACCATATTGTATTTTTAAGAGACCCTATTATTTAAAGTTTTAATAATCCTTTTCAAAAAAACATTTCCACTGTATCTTCACAGATTCAGGAGAAAAGTTGCAACAAGAAGAAATGGTAAGAAAATTATAAGAACACAGAATACTAGAGTTGGAAGAGATATTGGATCTTGGAGGTCTTCTAGTCCAACCCTTGCTTGAGGAGAATCTATACTATTTTGGACAAATGGTTGTCCAATATCTTCTTGAAAATATCTGAGAATGGGGAACTCACTGCTTCAGAAGGTAAGCCATTGAACTGATTAATTATTCTCACTGTCAGGAAATTTCTCCTTAATTCTAGTTTGTATCTCTCTTTAATTATTTTCCACTAGTTACTCCATGTCCTGCTCTCAGGTTCAATCCCCTCTTCGTTGTGACAACTGGTCAAATATTGGAAGATTGCTATCATCTATACTTCTCTTTGTTAGATTAGACATAGCTAGTCCTCACAACTGTTCATTGTATAGTTTGGCCTCCAGACACCTTACCATTGTTGCTCTTCTCTTCACTTTTTCTAGTGTCTCAACCAGGGGTGAAATGCTCCCGGTTCGGACTGGCTCAGGTGAGTAGGTAGTGATGGCAGCAGGCGGTTCAGAGAACCGGTAGCAAAAATCCCTGCCCCTGCCCCCCATGCCCAGCTGACCCATGCGATCATCAGAGGCTTTTTTTCTTTTAAATGCCTCTGATGAGCCAAGCTCTGACAATCCCAGCTGAGTTGCCTGCCGATCAGGCAACTCAGCTTGGATCGTCAGAGCCATTTAAAAGAAAATACGTTTTTTTCTTTTAAATGGCTCTGACGATCCAAGCTCTGACAATCCCAACTGAGTTGCCTGATCGGCAGAGGGTTTTTTAAAACCCTCTGACGATCAGGCAACTCAGCTGGGATCGTCAGACCCTTTTGAAAGCATTTTTAAAAATGGTTTTACATGTAAAAAATGGTTTTAAAAGTAAAAAAAAAAATTGGCCACGCCCACCCAGTCACATTACCCCCCCCCCACACCAAGCCACACCCACAGAACCGGTAGTAACAAATTTTAGATTTCACCACTGGTCTCAACATCTTTTTTTATTTTACGGTGACTGGTACTAGACATAGTATTCCAAGTATGGTCTTACCAATACAATATAAAGTAGTACTATCATTTCACATGATCCTCTGTTGATGCAGCGTAGGACTGCATTGACTTTTTTGTCAGCTGCAGCATATTGCTGACTCTTATTTTAGTGGTTATCTACCAGGACACCTAGATCTTCTCACAGTCTCTACTGTTGAGCCAGGTGCCACCCAATACCTTTTCATTTGGTTTTTCTTCCTTAAGTTTAGACCTTACTTTTCTCACCATTGAATTGCCACTCAAACTTATTTTTAGATAAGGTCCTTTTGAATAAGATCCAATATTCGAGTCTGTCAAGATCCTTCTGTATCTTGAGTCTATCTTCTGAAGTGTTGGCTATTCCCCCCAGGTTGGTATCATCTGCAAATTTTATGATTTCCTATTCTTTCTTATCATCTAGATCAGGGGTCACCAACCTTTTGGATTTCAGGAACCACTAAGTTCATAATTTTAAATCCTGTGGACCACTAACATGATCTGTCTAATGACTGGCTGGGTGGGCATGTCTAACTCCTCACCTCCCCGCCCAGGCTCCTTAATGCCCCAATAGGAAACGGTTGTTGGAGCTAAACAGTCACCATGAGAAAGAGTTAGCAAAACAGCTCAGTTCAAATTGGATCTGACCGAGAAGGAGGCTCAGCAGAAGCATCTTCTTTTTTTCCCCCAGATTTCTATACTGCCCTTCTCCTTTCAGACTCACTGAGAATTATGAGCATTGGCTTTCCAAGCAGAGGGAAGACCTGCGGGGGTGCAAGGCCAGGTACCGGTGCCTGGATGCTCAGTGGGCTGAGATGGTCAGCCAGTTCCAGGCCATGATGCAGTCCCACTGGAACAAGGCCCTCCGGCTCTTTGCCACCAACGGCACTTCCCTCCAGCCTTTGCCCAAAGCCCCACACCAGGAGGCCAAAGCAGACCCCAAGTTTGAATTTCTGCTCCCCTCCAACTCACACAAAAGGACCACGAAGGGGGAGACTCTCTGCAGTAACACAAATGTTCATTGCACGTATTCATCCCAGGGGACGTAGTTTGAAGACCCCTGATTTAGTGCAATATTAAAAATGCACATAATTTTTCTGCGGATCACTAAATTTTTTCGTGGACCACCACGATGAAGACATTGAAGAGTGAAGAACATTTAGGTGCCCCATGCTTTCCTCCATTTAGATATAGTTCCATTGAAGGTTACACTTTGAGTGTGGTCGGTCAGCAAATCCATCTGTTGGTGATGCTATCTATTCCATATTTTTCTATCTTATCAAAAAGTACAGTGATCTACTTTGTCAAATGCCTTACTGCAGTTTAAGTAAACTACTATATGTCCACAGCATTTCCCTTATCCACTAATTTAGTGACTGATAAATAATGCAATACTCTGTGTGACATGATCACTTTTTAACAAACCCATGTTGGCTTCTAGTAATAGTTCTGCTCATTTCTAGGTGTTCACAGATGTATTTTTAAATTATCTTTTCCAGGATTTCCCCAGGTATTGAAGTCAGGCTGATTGGTCTGTAGTTTTCTGAATCCATTTCCCACCCTTTTTTGAAGATGGGACACATGTCAGCTCTTTTCTAGTCTCTGGTAGTTCCCCGATGCTCTAGAACTTTGAAATATTTTGTTTAGTGGTTCTGAAATCATGTTTGTCACTTCCTTCAGAATTCCAAGATGTGATCCATTTGGTCCTGGTGATTTGAACATCTAGAGTGGATAGATGTTCTCTTCCCATTTTCTTGTATTCCTAATGTGTCTTCTTGTAGGTTGGACTATTTTGTAGAAAGACAAATGCAAAAAATGAATTAAGCAGTTCTGCTTTCTCCTACCTCCTTGCCATTTACTTTCCATTAGTGGACCAATCATTTCCTTGACTTTTTTCTTGTTTTTCACATGTTAAAAGGAATTTTTAAAAATTGTTTTTGGTTTTTGTTGCAGGTCTTATTCATTCTGAACTTTAGCTTTCCTGACTTCATCCTTGCAGATTTGGGCTATTTGCTGCTTTCTGTTTTAATTATGCATCCCTCTTTCCCTTTTTAAATGCTTGTCTATTTTGTCTCTCAGTTTATCTTTATGCAGCCATGGTAGTTTTGTTTGGGTTTTGTCTGGGGTATCTTGTTTTTCTTTCTCAGTGGTATTGTGTTAGAGAGGGCTTTTATAAATCATATTTTTCAGTTTCCCATCTTGCGTTGTTTTCATCTTTAAGATTTCCTTCATGGAATACTTCCTAAGCTTTTTCTAAGTGTGTTGAAATCAGCCATTTTAAAATCTAAGACATTAGTTTGACTTTGTTCAATTACTGTTCTTCTGTCTGTACTATGTCGAATTCCAGTATGATAGGATCATTCTCCCCTAAGATTTCCACAACTTCAACCCATTTATCATTTCACCCATCATTTCATCCCTGTTAGTAAGAATTAAATCTAGTATGGCTGACCCTCTAGTTCCCTCCTCTATGTTTTGCATGACAAAGCTGTCTGATAGGTTTGTCAGGAATCTTTCTGATATCCCACTTGCTGCAAAGTTTGCTCCCAGTCGCTACGTCTCTTCATTTTTTGTGGAATATTACAGGCCATATTTCTAATCAACCAGCACTGTAGTACTTTAAGTGAGTCTATTCCTTCTTCCATCCCCTTCTCTAGTAGCTATTTAATTAATTCCCTTTCCTACCAATATATAATACTTTCTGTCACATGGCTACTGAACATTTTAGTCCTGGCAATTTGATTTATTTCAGCAAGTTTCAAAGTTTTCCTGAGCATCCTCAGTGATGTTATTTCACTATAAACCTGTCAACACCTAACACATTTGTTTTTAAATGAAATGAAAAACCTTTTGGAATAATAAGACTCAACTATATTTTGTATCTCCTCATTTAGATAATGTATTAAAAATGAAATGTATGCTTTGAGCTATATGCTGAGTGTATTTCCAGTTGTGTGTTGAAATATGACCTTTTCTGTCTGTTTTCCTTGTGAGCCTTACTGATTACTTTCTATGTAATTTTATTCATCAATTTAGGTAAATTGTTTCAGCCTAGTGGGCAGATAATTAGTTTTTATTACATGGTGATCGCCATCACAATCCACACATAGACACTGATTTTTAAATGCCGTTGATATGCACATTTGAAATATAATAAAAATGCAGTTCATACTGAGAAATATTTGTCAATCCAGAAAATGTTTCTCATTATACAAATATCAAGATTACTTAGTAATTTCCAACTTTCTCCTTTGAATAACTCTTCATTTGTGATATTTCCAACTTTTGTGCTTCAAATGCTGGACAAAATTAAATCCCATTTATTTCAGTATTGTATGACAATATTACATGAGTTGCCACAAAATTAAAATTAAAATTATAACTACCATTTACAAGATATGCTTATTTTATGATGTTTATTCATTATTTTTGCTAAAGATGTTGGAATGTCCTATATCTATTGCCTCAGAATTTGTCATTTCCTTTCCCCATTAGAGATTTAGGTTGACTGCTAAGTGAATTTTACTTCCAGATGACACAATCACAATTACTATCTGATTTTTCCACGACAGTGTTTGGTTTCAATTCCATATGCCTTTAAAATTATTATAAAATTAAACTAAATAGTGTGACTCTGGGAAACATGATTATGAAATCATTGATAGGCAAATCTATGCAGTGTAATCCATGAGGATAAGATAATGCAAATTCTCTCTTATCAGACAGAATACTAAACAAAAAAAAGTTGGAGATTTACCATATATTTGTGATTATCCTCAGTAAAAGCAACTTACTTAAAATTTCTCCCTGAAACTTCTGCAGGGTACTTATGAATATGTGTTTCCAAGTCCTAAAAGAAAAATTAATATATAGCTGGAGAAATGTTAAAATATGAACATTTTTTTATTTTTATTGTTAATCTGATTTAAACTGGGTGGTTACCATAGAATTAAAATACAAAATAAGCAATATCATGAAATAATAGAAACATATAATCACAACTGAGGACAGAATCAATGAATATGTTGAGACTCATTTGTATTTTCATCTACATTCTGTCCTTTGCTCGCAGATTGACAGTAACAGCTGCAGGTGTGGCTTGGTATAAAGAAAGATAAAAGGTAAAGGTTCCCTTGGTGGGTGTGGCTTGGT